ATTTTGAAAAACTGTATTTTATCATTTAAAAAGTCTTTTTAAAACATTGCTGAAAAACTATCTCCTGATTTCTTGAAAAAATCTTGCATAGTGTTTCTAAAAATCTCCTGACTTTGAGTTGTCATAGTTTTGGCAAGTATGTCATTACATTTTAACTGACGTTCCCACCATAATTTTTGTAGAAGTGTCTAATTTTTGCAAAATTAAATAAGTCATTAAAGTGTCACCAAAATTATTCAATTGGTTTGATTCAATACTTCTAAAGAACGAATTTACTTCATTAAATATTATCAACTAAATTTAAAAGTAGCAAATGCTGATTCATTTTGAATAGTTGGTAAGCTTAGAAAACGTTTAATATATGCAAAAATTTGTTCTCTCTTATTTGAATATCTTTCGTCTAACAGATTCCATGCTATTTGAAAATTACAGTCTGAAATTTGAGTGGTTTAAATAATGCGATATGCTTCACCTTTCAACGAAGCCTCCAAATACTGCAATTTTTTAGCATTAGATAAATTTGTATTATTTCTTACACAAGCACTGAAAAGATCTTTAAAAGCTATCCATTCTGTAATATTACCACCAAAAGTCGGTAATGTTAACTTGGGTAATTTAATATTGTCAAGAACCTGTTCTGAAATTACACTATTAGAATTATTTTTGCTATTTTGATTTTTTAATATTTTTTCACCTTTAAATTTCCACAAATAAATTTTATCTGTGTACTCCTAAACATTATCTATTTCATTTTCTAATTCTTTAGTATCTGTAATTAAACTTTCGATTTCAGAATCAAGCTTCCTTAACTCTTTCTTTTTGTTTCAATAATTTGACACATTCCTCTAGTTCTATAAATTAATTTTCTCTGCATAATTATTAAAACAGCTCTTTTTGTTTTAAAAGTAAAATAATAGTAAGTTCACTCATAATTGATCAATTCAAAAACAGAAATTGTTCTTAAATCACTTAACACTATTATTAAAACGAAATCGAAACACTTCTATGCTGTATTACAACATTGTTCTTAAAATCAGTTATAAACGAATTTTTAGTAGAATATAAATGTTCAAAATCCTCTTACCTCACAAAGTGGAGTAATTTTTCACCAACCATGTGCATATTTGCGTTGTTACAATGCGCTTAGGACAGTCACTATCTTCACTACCACTCTGGTTAGACTTTTGACCAATTATAAATTATCTTTACTTAATATGTTTCACAAACAATAATCACTTAACATATGGACTGTATTCCTTCACTTTTATTTCATTACACTAATTATAAATAAGATGTCAGCAATGCAAAATAATTGATACAAAAAAAGCGAACCATTCTACATGGCTGTCACAAACACAATTCTATCAATCAATTATCTTGTTGCCACACATAAAGTTCAAAACTAAAGGAAGAAAAACAAAAGAAATGTACGCTGTTTGCAACAATAAAATGAAGCAAACGATACATAAACATCAGTAGTGAATGAATATTTCAACGAAAACAGTTTGCATCCTGTAGTGAATATTTGAGAAAAACTAATGTAGATTTTATGTTTTATTTTTTAAATCAAACTGATTATTGGTGATTTTTTTTTTTTATGTAATACCCAAGTTACACTAATTTTGTCTAAATTTGTCAAGTTACAATAATTTTGTATTAAAAAATTCAGTGTGAACAATTTTAGTGATGTTGGGGTTCGTACGGTTCTTAAAAGTCCTTAAATTTTTTGAAATCGATTCTTTCTACTGAGCTGGATTTTCATTGTACCGATCGCAAAAGGCCCTTTTCAACAATTCTGTATACATTGAAAAATGATTTTACTGTTTAAGTTTTGTGCACTAGTGTATTTACAGTTTAATAATACAGGGTTCGTACGGTCCTTAAAATTTTAGGAATCGACTTTTGGTCCTTAATTTTATTCATCAGAAATGTCTGTTTTAACGACTGCCATTTTGAGTGTGAATTAGCATTTTGGTGAAATATTTTTGGCAATTCACTGACATATATGGTTATCTTTTGAATAGGTTCATGAGTTAATAATTTTGTTTTCTATTTCTAATATAAATGATGGGATACTCGATTTTCTAAGCAAGAAGTGAAACATAAGCCATTTCAAAATTCATTTCCTTCTAATAAAGTGCTCTTAAACAATTTTTCAGCTTTTGGGGTTGTGAAGTCCCAAAAGCTTTATTAAATGGTTCTAAATTTGGACGACTTTGTCAACATTTTGGCGATTTTAAAGATTCAGTTTCTATAGAAAATTTTTAATTCCGAGATCTGAGAATTTTTCGGCGATTTTTTTTTAAAACATCATAACATTGATAAATTTCATTAAAATAATGGGAATATATTAGAATTATATTTAAAAAGAATATGCATCAGTTTCTCTATAAAATTAATTTTACACTTTTTCCTTCCTTTTGTTTTTTCAAAATGTTTCTAGCTTTTTGCTGTTACAGAATTGGTCGGGATAATTTTTCTTTAGTATTTTTGACATTGCTGCATTCAAAGTTTAGAAGGTTTTAAAAACTAGATTTATACGCCCACGATTCTAGAGATTTGATAAATATGTGACAAAATGAAAAATGTCTCCATGGTATTAACACGTAATGGATGTGTTTTACAGAAAGTTTGTGATTAATTTCTTACTTTTTGGAGAACGTCTGCAAGAACAATGGAAACATAACATTTGAATGTTTTACTCCTGATACTAAAATCTTTTTTCTTAATATGCTTATCTTTTCAGTAGACAAAAGCATGGAAAATATCAAAAATGCTTCTAATCTTATCACTTGGGCAGGCCTTATAGAAAGAGATTTTTTTATTAATAAAGAAATTTAAAACTTACAATTTAAAATATTCATCTAATGTGTCTAAATGCATCGCACACAGAGCTGGTGCTATGCATTTTCCCACCTGATGCAATCTCTGTGTATCCTAAATTCTGCTTCTAATGCCTGCTCTAAATTCTAAAAGTTTTGCCATTTCTAGATTTTGTTGTTCTCTGTGTCACTAAATTCTAAAAATTCTGCCACACCTACTCTGTTCATATTACTAAAAAATTAAATTAGCTGCTTTTTCTGTACATTCTAAATGCATTCAGTGTTTTTTAGAATAACAGAAATCCTTAATTAAATCCAAAAATTCTAAAATTAAAAGGAAACACGTTGAAGTAAGAAACCGAATACATAAAGAAAATTATTCTTTAAAGATATGTGCAGTTATTATTATGTAAATTACCCAATTAATTATCATTTCAGCCTTTACTATAATTTCCCATTTCTGTTTCCTCATATGATAGAGTTACTGAGCCATATTAAATTTAAATTAAATTGTATTATCTTTGACCACTAGTCCACATTTTTAGTTTGAATTTGACTGTTCTTGTTTAATTACGTCACCGTGAGCTGTAGTTGACTTTGTTAGCATCAGAACATGCCTTTATATTTTAAGTTTTTTGTCTGATATTGTAGTTACTTTCATATACAGTGATAATTTGCTTCATGTCTATTGGGGAAGAGGGACTATTTAACTTTTACCAAATCAAGTAAATCCTCATAGATACATTGTGGAGAGGTTGACAAGTTAGGAGATAAAGCACACAGAAAAACTAGCAAGAACATTGGTTTGCATATAGAGACGAATTTCTAATTATTGTCAGAAAAGATCGATAATTAAAGAGAAAAATCGATATAAACTAGCTAAAATGTTTGGGGCTTGTAGAGACATGAGGTATTTTTGAAAGCAGGAAAGATAAAAAATTAACAACGCCTTCGCCAGGAATCGAACCACGGACCTCTGGAATACCGCTACCAGTGTGCAAACCATTACACCACGAAGGGTCGCCAAGAAGGTGGGAGAAATATACTCCCCCTTTTAAATGGCGACTGGGGTTTTTAGGGAATCCAAACGCGAAATCCTTTGTGTGGAGAACCCATTAAGTAACCATCACCCATCAAGTAAAACTTATTCTTTGCATCTACTGAGACTTATATAAAACAACTTATCACCTCTGGCGCTTTAATGGCTTATTGGAACCTAAAAGTATATTAACTGGGTTACAACCCCTGGAACTCTACACAAAGCTATGACATTAACTGCATTAAGCAGAGCTTGGCTAACTTCAACACTTGCTAACTGTGCCTACATCAGGCATTTCAGGTGTGTTCCAATCAGCAGGTCTCTCTATAGACAAGCAGCAGAGGGACAACATTCAGTCTTTTGTTATGAATCATGCTGATTATCATCTCACTTCTCATTTTAACATATGTCGTTTGACATAAAATCTCCCTACTATTTGCTAAATCTCTAGACTGACTAAGTATGTGACAAAATTAGACATTTAAAAAAAAAAAAAGCATAAAGCTAACTATTAGTAAAACGTAAATGTCACTTATCTTCTTTTAAATGTGTCCTACTATTATAAGTGTAAAATATTTAATGCTACTTGATAAACTTTATTAATAATTATGTTAGTTAATTCATGTTTAGTAATAATGCATACTACTTGGGGATCTATTTTATTTTTAGGATGGTATTACAAAAGGGAAATTCAGGCATAGAATAATATTTTTAATTGAATTTATTCAGTTTCCATTTGCTCATAGGTCCTTAATTTTTTTCATTAATGGTCCTTAAAAGTACTTAATTTCCGTGTGCAGAAATGTGTACGAACCCTGGATGTGTATAATAAGGGACAGAATGTTTGTACTGTAATAAGTGGAAATTTTGTAGAATATAATGTTTCTCCTCTTCTTTCCCTGTGTGTTGTGTGCTTAATCCATTTACAATTTTTTTTAATGGGAACTACTAGAAGTTGTAAATTAACATAATATAACTTGTATTTCTTTCAGAATTTAACATTTGAAAAGCTTAAGTACAGTAAAATTTACTTTAAATATTCAAAGAGTTATTCTAAGTATATATTATGTTCATCTATATAGAAATATAATTCAAGATTTAGCTGTGTTGTTTTATTTGTATATTTATTTCTCCCTCAGACGCATCGCCGATATCTCCGTTGTCCTGGTGCTATAACTGTATATCATCTAAAAAAGCTACTTCGTGCAAAATATGGTTTAAATCAAAATGAAAAAGTAAGCATATATTTTGACCTGGCAACGAGTATTTATTAGAAATGTGAAAACATAGTCTTCTTCTTAAATGAAGTATTTCAGATTCTCTTTCTTTTTACCTCATAATCACTATTCTGATAAACGTTAGTTAATTTAAGCAACTTTTAAAATTAAACATTTCATGCTTTTGAATCCATTTGATAATTTTTCATTGTGAAATTATTTTCAAATCACCATTAGTATTTGTGCTTATTTAATACAGTACAAAGTCCGAGATCCGGATGTCCAGTATCCGGAATGGTTTAACATCCGGACCTCAAAGCCACCACCAACTTTTTTGTGTGTGTGTTAGTGCTACGATGTGCATTTGATCCCCCCCCCCAATAATAAAACATGGAAAGTCCCAATTCTTAATTTCACTTCGGCACTAAATAAAATATCTCGTTATTGAAGAAACAATCATTTTAACATAAATTTGTATGATCAATAATTTGGCTCCATAGCTGTATATCTGTTTGGCATACTATATCTCAAACTAAAGCATTCTACGTAGAAAAACTGTAGAAACATTAGATATTTTTTGAAGCAGGCAAAATGAAAGATGAGCAATCGCCTTCGCCAGGAATCTCACCACAGACCTCTGGAATGCCAACCCAGCATGCAGAACCACTACACCACGAAGGCACACTAGGAAGGCGGAAGAAATACCTTATTTACTCCCCCTTTTAAAGGGCGACTGGGTTTTTAGGGAACCCAATCACCAAATCCTGCATGAGGAAAATCATCATCCAACACCCTTTTAGATCAGGTGCCACTGTAGAGTCATTAGGTTAATTGGAAAAGCTGGAGAGATGAAAAATAAGCAAACGCCTTCGCCGGTAAATCAAACCACGGACCTCTGGAATACTGGCCCAACATTCAGAACCACTACATCACGAAGGCACGCTAGGAAGGCGGGAGAAATACCTTATAAACACCCTTGATTTTACGCCTACTAATATTTTATATTCCTGACCCAACCTGGCAAATCATTATTTATTATATTTTGCTTTCATCAACACATGACAACTTGAGTAATGACTCATGTAACAATACCTAAACAATTTTTTATGTTAGTAATTGAATAAAAGAGTATGGTAACCTTTTATGTTGACATTATGATTGGTGATGATTACAGATTTAAGTTAAATGCACTAAGAAATGTTACAATAAAATTTAACAAAAATATCTTTCTGTATGGGATTAATTGATTTTGTTAATGATACTTATAGAAAAGAATACATTTACTGCCATTTGAATTAACATTAACTAATTTATTATTCACATATACCTAGCGCCAGAGCTCGTATGGGGCATCAAGCGGCAGAATTTAGGATCCGCAGAGACTGCATCAGGCAGTAAGATTTCTGGTGCCTGCCCTCGATAAGTATATGTGGGAATTTATTTATTCGGGACTCAGATAAGTTTTAAGCATGTGCAAAGGAATAGGCATAAGTATAATAAATAACTAAATACAATTCAGGCTTAATTGTCTCAGTGCGCAATAGAAACAAGATAAAAGTTTGCAGGACAGCTTGTCTTTAGTCGCCAATCTCATGATACATAGCCAAATATGTATAGTGAACGATAGCTGTTATGATGATGATAGTCGCAAATCTGAAGGTTTTCGGTTATTGTAAACCAAAGGAGAAATTTTGTAAAGAAATGTGGAGAAGCAGTAATAAATTAAGATGATATAAAAAGAGTTTTTCATTGTGATGACAATGCTCCTCATTTATCAATCAATTAACGGATGGTGAAATCTGTAATTGGATGGTTCTAGATCCAGAAAATACCACTACCAATGGTGAAAAAAGTGACAGAGAGGTTAATGAAAATAAAAAAATTTTGATTGTCGAGTTAGTCAGAATCCTAGACACAGTAATACAGGACTTCAACAATGGAGCTATGTAACTGAACAAGAAATTATGTCTGTCTATAGAATTAAAGAGAAAGTATTAGCACAAAAAAAAAAAAAATGAAGCAATTTAAACAACTTGAAAGAAATGTTTGATAAAGTAGATAAATAAATATTAAGCTTTTTTTTCCTAAATTTTGATACCCTTTAGAACATAAATGCTTCATTATTTCAAAAATTATAATTTCATATTTTTAATTTTATTATTTCTACATGCCATCTTATTAGATTTAAACTGATGATCTAAAAAATCCAGAATCGCACAAGTTCCGACGAGTTCGGATCTCGACTTTGTTCTGTATTTATAAGTTTCTTCTTTTTTTTTTTTTTTTTTTTTTTTTTTTTTTTTTTTCATATATTTGATTTTCATTATCTAATTTTAATAAAATTATTATTACGTAAATAAGACATTAACTTCTCAACTTTAATATATATATTGTTATATGTTATTGGTGTGGTATATTAGAATAATATATACTGTAAATACCACTATAGTGCAGGAATATCTGCATGATAATTGTTTATTCTCATTATTAATCTGCATAAACTAATTACTCCCTTTGGATTATAGGAGGGAAAATAAACTGTGATTTCTAAAGTAAAATGAACTTCTTCAAACAAATATTGCATTATTTATTCTTTTCATTTGTATAAATGTTTATTAACTGCTGTTTTTGTAGTCTCTGCTTGATTGTCAGGTATAAGAAATAGAGCTTGTGAATATCAAAATGTGTATGTATGTAATGCAATGTATGAATGTGCTACAACCCTCTTGGCCGATAATAATCGGCCTCATGGTTAACGCTGCATATAGAACACATTAAAACAAAAATACAGTTTAAAACATCAAATCAAAATTTGGTTATTTCCTCTTTATTCTGAAATATATCTATATAGCAGGGGTGTTTGTGCTCCGGAGAAACCCCGGAATTCCGGGGATTTTGAACTTCGATCCCCGGAATAAGGAAGTAGGAATAATAATGAATTATTTATTTTGATCTGGGTAATTTTGTTTGCTTTGAAAGCAGAAAACGCAAGGTCAGTGTGTGTGGTGAAAACTTTTCCTTTCTTTCTCCAAAGGCAGTGATAATGCGTGAAAATAGGGAAAAAACTTCTTTTTTGTTCTTTCCTTATTGCGAGTTATGACTCATTCCCCCGGTTCTCGGACATTCTCTTCTGGATTCTTTTCGGCAAGTAGGCGCGGCAGAAAAAAAAGGGAGAGACTTCGTTCGACCAGATGTGCGATCATGTGACTCTTGGTTCAAAGGTCTTACCTCTCCTGGCGTGGCGCCAATAAGTAGAGAAAGGGGATTTTTCGCCCTATTAGCTATTTGTCATTGATCGCTTCTCAACTTTTTTTTCTCCGCTGTGTAAAATTTTCGTTTCATTTATTGATGCACGTGTAAATTTTTCGTTTCGTTTATTGAAATATTTTTTTTATTTATGTACGCAAGAGAATTTCACTATGAAATTTCTCAATATAAATAAATAGTGATATTATACAATTAGAAGAAGGTGTCCGGAATGCATTTAGGTGGAATTGGATTGAACGGAGAGATGGTAATAGGGATACCATCGGCACATGGTGCAAGAAAATAAATGTTGCTGGACAAGCATATTGTGTTTTTTGTAACTCACTGCTGAAGTATGGTGGGGAAGGATTCAAGGCTTTCACAAATCATTCTAAAACTGTGACGCACATAAAATATTCAAAGTGCATTAGACATTCAATGACTGTAAGTAATTATGCTAATTCAAAAAATACTGATGACTTACTGGAGATTAATGCTCGGCCATTGGATATAGTGACAAAAAAAGCACGCCAAGAGGTATTAATAACTTCGTTTATCGCCGAGAATTCTCTTTCTTTCAATGTAGCTCCCAATTTAATTGAACTCTGCTGCAAACAGTTGAGCCGCGATCAGACGGCACTAAACTCGTTGGAAATGTCCAGGACTACTGCATGTTATAAAAATGAAATATGGGCTCGCAAAAACTATTAAGGAAAATATCATTAAAACTTTAAAGGAGACTCCATTTTCTCTAAATTTGGATGAAAGTACTAGCAATGCTCAAGAAAGTATACTGGCAATATTGGTGAGAAATGAAGTTGTAGTTCATTTTCGGGAAATTGGTGAGAAAGGAAGTTGTAGTTATGTTTTATGACAACAATCAAAATGAAGTTGTAGTTCATCATTTTGCATCTCTAAAGATGGAATCTTGCAATTCAGAAGCTGTTTTTAAAGCAGTTGTTAATACTATTGAAGATAATAATATTCCATGGGCAAACTTAATTAGTGTATTAATGGACTCATGTAACACCATGCATGGAAAAAAAAAGGGTGTTGAAACCAGACTACGATCAAACAAAGCACCTCACTTATTAGATATTGATGGTGACACATGTCACACAGCTAATAACTGTACAAAAAAAATTTGCTTCGTGTTTTGATAGATACTTAGAAGATTTGTTTGATGACATCTATTTTGATATGAAAAGCTGCAGTAAAAGAGAAATTTTTTTTCAAAATCTGTGAATCCCTTGCCATTAAAAAACTTAAGCCCTTGAAGAGACCAGACCATAGGTGGGTGTACATTTTATGTGTTTCAGAAAAAATCAAAGATCTGTGGGATGCTCTTATTGCATTTTATTTTCACTAATTGGATAAAACTGATAAAGGGGATTATTTTTCTTATGTTGAAACTGTATACAATAAAAGAAATATTTCTGCAGCTCAGAAAAAAATTGTTGAAGGGGTGTATTCTTGCTTGCATTCCCAACAACTCACAAAGGATGCTTTAGCTCGGAAAAAAGAATGCTAAATGGGTTTATTTGTTACGCAAAACAAAACTTTATTGCATATGGCATTATATTCAGCAGTATTACCAGAGTTCAACACATATATTAAATTATTTGAAACAAAAAAACCAATGCTTCATTTAATACATTCCAGTATTTAAAAAATTGATGGCAAAATTTTTCTCTTTTTTTATGAAGCCAGAAAATGTAGAGTGCACATCTTATAATGATTTATTAAATGTTGATGTCACAAATCCAGAATTCCATCTACGTGTTGTGGCTTATCTCACTTGTCTGATAGTAACATGAGAACAAGCCCACAAAATTTGTCGGGGCGTGCAGGGCCGTGGAATCGAAATCGAAGTTGGGCAGATTTGGGGGTAAAAGGAGTCGGAGCTCGAGTTACTAAAAACAGGT